TATGCCAATAAGAGACTGATCGATTGCAGTCCTAATCATCAATGGGAAGATTCAAACAAACAATACAAAAATGAATTGTATTATGAACGAACAGATCTCATTAGATACTGTAAAGAATAAATTGCGATTGATTAATATCTTCTGAAAAACAACCAAACAAACAAAAGTTTGGTAGTTCAGTGTAAAATAATTTTAAAAAATCTATACAGTTTTTCATATGAATGATACTATATGATGAGACCATAATTTATGGACGACCTCTGAGCGACGCTGGACTGACCTTGAGAGTATCCACTGAGTAACCAGGACCAAATCAGGCTTATAAATCAGTGTGAGGAATTATACTTATAATTTGCAGTTGATGATTTAAGTTAGGAATTAGATTTCAGGTTTTCATCACGAGCTGACATCAGCAATAATGTCAAAAACTCTAATTAGCCAAATAGATGAGTGAATTTCGCGCTGGAATTTGAAACCTATTTTCTTATATCTGATTGGTTCGTCCATAAATTATAGTCTCGCCAAAGGATAATTAGGGGGAGGGGAATGGTTGGAAAATGTTTCACCTTCTATTAACATTGAACAATTCTGTAGGCTAACATTAACCGTTTTTTCTCTTTATCTCTGATTTTAAATTAGAAAAGTGGAAACTGTTATGACTTACCGACCGTCAAATATCATGTGGCAAAATCGCCGATCGGAACACCGACCTTTATAACTTTGCGCCTCTGCTAAACCAAGAGTGCGTGAATCAGCATGAGAAGCCTTGAGTTAACTCTGAGTCCTTATTGGTCCCATATATGGTAGCTTCTCTCTCAGCCTTCTCCGTTCAGTCCAGAATACATTATCAGCCTCTACTACATGAATTGTATATTTCAGACATATGTGGTCTATATACAAACAGACTGGATCGCATCTCACCATAAAATGAAAAAATATTAATTATATGAGATCAAGACAAAAGTGGCTGCAAGTATAAGAGTAAATTAAGAATGATAAGTCGTATAAAAGTAGCCAATAGGTCAAGTGAAAGTTTAGAATAAAAGGAATATGAATATATATAGATAATCTAGTTACTTAATAGTAATCCAATAAGAATATATGTAATAATAGTCCATAAATAATCCCTAGCAGTTACCACTCATTTGTTCTTCATTCAAATGCAGCAGAAACGATGTCGAATAAACTGTTCTGTCAGTTGCAGTAAAAATGTAGTTTCGATCTAATTGACAAGGAGATAACATCAAATTTTTTAATACAGACAGAATATTTATTAAATTTATCGGATTTTGATTGTACTTTCATATTACGAACCAACTGCCTCACTCACCCTGCCAATGTATCCATAAATCTAATTCTTCTGGAGAAATCAGTTGTCATATAAATGATTAAGTTATTGCTTCAAGGAGTAATGTCAAGGCATATCAGACAAACTCCATGGTGTCTCTGGGCCATACGATTAGTAAGATGTAGTTGTAGGTGGGCTAGTATGAGTAAGTGAACTACTTATTTGGACAAAGTTATTATGGACACGTTCCTACCAGTTTAGCAAACTACCAAAACACACGAACTGTAAACACTATTATTTGGCATTTTGTAATAAAACTCTTGAAACAACGTTTGGTTTTCTTTACTCTGGATAGTTCATAGGTCAAGAATGTAATACCAGGGCATAAAGGTCCAAGTAGTTGGTACAAATGGATAGAAAATCAACCAGAAAAAGGCAATTTTAACTCAATTTCATAAAACTGGGCATTAAATCAAGTTAAATATTATCTTTAATGTAAAGTATTGTTCTACGAGTAATTTGTCTTGGACAGCTTGCATTCATTTCAGAAACTTTAGGTATTAGAATCACTAAATGAAACTCAATAACTTAGTACAATCTCGTTTACTTAGCTTAGATCCACATTTTTAATGTGATGGCTGAAACTACTTATTTTCTGTAAATAAGTGGATCTATCGATTCGCTTAATTATTAGTTAAAATTTATTCGAAATCAACACTAAACACCGTCTTTATTGAACAAATATTGAAGATTAGCTTTGGAATGGATTTCCCAAAGATTATAGTGAAGTTCATACGCTGTTTAATCGACCGGATTCCGCAGTAACTGGTCAGCTATAGTTGTATGAATATAAGAATAGATATTGCATAAATTGAAATATCAATCATTAACTGTTGACAGATTTGGTTCAGTAGTATCGTATTCGCCACAAGACCTTTAAGTAACGTGCTTAATTTGCTTCTGTTATATTGTGTTCCGACCCAGGGAAACTTGGTTTTCAAATATAAACCTATTTTTTATCAGTAGAATCTAGAACATTCATATCCTCGTGTTAGGGATTCATCAACTGGATGTATCCTTATCTTAGCACTGATGCCGATACTATTAAGTTTGTATTTTGTCTTTTCTTATCAGACTCACTTTTTGTACACCACTTTATACTACTTGCTAATATTCAGTAAACAGTCTATATTTAATAATTTCTGAAAACAGTGTAGTGAATGTTGATCTCTTGTGTAATATCCCTACGTCTTCACATAAACTAATAACATTTACTGTATTTATCATAAAAATTACTCTCCCTCTCAGCCCTTGTAACAGTTGTCTAAATACAACATTTTCCATACTTCTGTGCTCTTACTTCTCATATTGGTTGTTGATAAATTATTGTTAACATTAAACACAGCTACCATTTGCGGTGATATGTCGTAATTACTTTTAATGCTACTATTAGCGTTAAATGCCTCAGATACCTCATGAGTTGAGGTTTGTAACAAATTTATTTGTATTCAATAATAACAAAATCATTCTTCACACAAATAGTTTTTTTTAAAACTTTGGTTTGACGCTTATCTCAATCATGTAGTTAACGCTTTAATAGAATTAAAAGACTGGAATTTGATACCTATCGCTTCACACATTTACATGGAATGATCAATTACAATCCTAAATGCACAAAAAACCCCGGGAAATTAACAATTTTTTGATGAAAATCACGGTTAGATTTTTATACATCATAATAAAAAGTTTCCGATGCGATTGGATTCAGTGATGACAGGGATGATTTATAGTCGAGTATAAAATTGACAATCGTCCATTACTTTTAAGGCTATATGATATTTTTCAGAATAAGCGTGTAAAAAAGCGATGCGTATTTAAGTAATATTGTAAAATAAACAAAGAATGTCCTTTACTTAGTGTTTATTGATATTCATATGAAAACGTGTCGGTCAATGGAAAAAACCCATCCTAAAAGGATGTGCTTAAACAACGAACCCAACTTCTAGTGACTGAGAAGATTTTCATTATCGGTCAGTAATTAATTAAGTGGTGTTAGATTTTATACTAACAATGTTGGCAGCAGAATCCGAGTTAAGGCCTCTTCATCGCTCTGCTGAATAATAAGGGCAACCGTGTTCGTCAACTTGTGCAGTCGGCGGAGATTGGACGAATCCACCACTCTGCTATAGCCTTTATTCTCGAAGACCCTACTTTGAGGCACCAAAGATCGTATATATATATATATATATATATATATATATGAACTGCATGAGTCTCGGACTGTTTATGTGGGTACGATCCGGTTTCAACTGAATAGAGTTAGAAAGGCAATCTGCCCTACGTCAAAACGTGGCCTAACCAAAATGAAACAAGTATGTGGACAAAACAAAAAACGATGGGTAGCAAATACAAGCGAAGGGTGAGGTGACCACCTACCGTCCCTTAAGACTGCTTATGACGGTGTATGGAATGAAGTGCATGAGCGCAAGCTTATGTGCCTAGTGGTATGCATGTAACGCACAAGTGCTCGAAAGTGGTAGCAAATATGAATAAAGTGAGCGGTGGCCATCGACCCCACTAAAGGGAAAGTACACCAAAATGTATGCCATACGATGGATAAGTGAGAACCTCTGTGTTACCTCAATAGATGTGACGTATACCTGTCTCAGGTACGATGCCTGTTAGCCAAGACCCAGTGGTCACGATTGCCTCCTAAAACCACGTACTAATGTCGGGTGTGTGTGCCTTTAAGGATGGTATTCTTTGCCAGACAAGCCAACTGACTTCACCTTAATGAAGCTTAACCAAACTCAATTGGGCTGACACGTAACTATCAATGTTAAATCAGGTCAAAGAAATACTATTTGGTGGTTGAAACTGAGGTAGATCAACCGAATATTGAGAATCTGTACCCAATTTCTGAACTGCCAAACTGCATTGACGGCAACATTGAAGACTGCATCGTTTATTGAGACAATTAAAACACTGTAAACGTTTCCTCAATTTCAGATATTTGATTATTCCACGAACGCTAAACCAGCTTACTCTGATATTCCAGTCTATAAATGGTTGTCTTCAAAATTCCCCTTTTGTACTTGTGAAAAAAGATCTTGATGCTTTCATCATGTAAGTGTTAATATTTTACTCATAATTAAATATGTATTATTTACTTATAAACAAGAATATACTGGATGAGAAAAAAAAGAAGAAAGTAGATAAAATAAAATAGAGGAAAGAAAATTTAAAATAAGATATGTTATTCACAAATAAATAAACAAATAGACACAACCTATATCCATATTAAAGTAAATCGTTAGAATAAGGCACTTTATGAAATAAATATTGCGTAATAGTATATGATCAATCGTTTAGATTAATAAAACAATATTGTTAAACAAATCCATTGATCAACTTGTATCTTAATCAGAAGTGAGAGAACTAGAGTTTAAAATGACAAACACAGAATAGAATATTTCTGTAAGTTACACAGTGTACACAGGATTACTTTGACCACCGTCATCAATTCGATTAGGTATTGAATTCACAAACACTTGACAACTGCAAACAGACAGACACATAAACATGCACAGAAACTATCCTTTATTATTATTATTTTTTTTAGAGAGACTATTTACAACTAGCCAGTAAGAAAGCACGGTCAAAAACAAATCATTGAAGTAATAATGATTAACGATACAATGAAGAGTAGACACTACCAATCGCCCCAGTCATCATCATCATCATTACTAGTATTATTGACAACGTTTGATTTATTTGATTCACTTTGTTGTCTTTTCGATGATTTTATAGGCTTATCAGTTTTACTAGAATTAGTTCGAGTTGGAACATGTTCAGATGATGACTTTTTTGATTGATAATTCGAATGATTTGTCGACGGTAAGCTTTTCATTATATCTGAAGATTGTGATAATTTAACAGTTGATTTCTTTTTACTTGTTCTCTTTTCAATTGGATTCTCGTTTAGAGTAAGACTATCAAAAAATTCATTTGAATTCCAATCCAAGTCAATTTTATTCTTTGTTTCTTGATTACACGATGGTTGATAATCCCAATAGGATGAAGGTGTAAGTGGGGGAATATTAGATTCTGATAAGAAATTTTTATTTTCTGAGTTATGATTTAATGTTGATTTATTGTCATCTACATCTTCAAAAACATCATTTATATCTAAATTCCAATCATCATCACCACCGTCATCATCATTATTAGTATTGTCCATAAGATCCCATGAATTTGATTCTTTGTCATGATTAACAGTCGACTTTGAAGCTGATTTGGATGAAATTAATCGAGCAGATTTATTGGAATTTCCTAAAACTGAAATCAATAATATTCACGCGTAAATAATGAAACTGTGATGAAAGATGATGGATGATTTGAAAATTAATTAATGATATTAACAATTTTACAAGAATACTTATAAGTTAAATGAGTTAACTCTGATATGATGTAAAACAAAATATCTGGTCTGTGATCAGTTTGCTTTGTTCTAATTTACAGTTGCGAAACGTGGCCATTAAGGGTATAGGATACTCGTAAGTTACTAGTATTTGATTACAGATGTCTTAGAAATATTGCCAGCATCTGTTGGGATCACCGGATAAGTAACAGTGAGGTTTGACGCAGGGTATTATGGAATGATGGTAAATCAGTTGATGAGGTTGTGAATCTTCATCGATTGAGATGGTTGGGCCACGTGTTACATATGCCTGAACACCGATTACCACGGAGTGCAATGTTGACTAAATTTGGAGACAGACAGAAGTTAGGAGAGGTCAAACCAAAACGTTGCATCAGTTCTTGAAGTCACTAACTTCTGGTCCGAGTCATGTTGGTAGATGCAGACTACTTGGGTGAGGCCCACGCAAATATCGTAACCAATGGTTAGAGATTCTAGGTGACATGGCTCATAATTGATCACAATCGCGTAGGTGTATACACTCTATGTCTTCCCTTAAACCGTGTGATTAAAATTACTTTATACCTTTCTTTCTACGAACTAATTTTTTCTTCCTGTATTATATCCTTATATATAATCTTTCCTTTATATATTACTACCATTGAAGTAACTAGTTCTATGAATTTGGTGATTATCTTGTTGTGCTAATGAGATGTAGCAAATTGAACCGATGTATATATGTACTTGATCCTATGTTGTAGCTGACCGACTGACTGGTCTATGATCTGGTATTAACAAGATATGACCTGAGCACTGATTTAATATCTTGCTAATCAAGTTAAAGACAAGACAGTTTAATTAGGTCATAAAACTATTTGGAACATAGAGAATTCAGTTTAGATTGTGTAAAAAAAGATGTGTGAAATTTATTATTTCAATAGAATAACTGTATCTGACTAGGTATTTATTGTCTGCTATTGAATATACTATCGTACGAAAAGATTTAGTTCATTAACTTAAACACCCAACATATGGTTAAAACCTGCATTATTTACAATCGTTATACTTAGAATGATCACAAAAACATTGCTCATAACTCGAACACATTAAAGTCACTAGCTTGATAATAGTTCGAGACTTGTTATATGGTTCAAAGAATCAGTTATCAAGCTTGTGATTTTCTTCTCCTAAGGTGAATAATAAATATAGTCAGGCAAAGTTTCTTCACAGGAATTAAACAATACTTACAATAATTCAACGAAAATAATCAAAAATCATTGATCATCTATCAACAGATGTTTGCTACACAGTGTAATATATACTCATTGTATCCGGATAAAGTTATTATGATATTTGTATTGACAAACTAATCAGATAGAATCTATTGGATATTGCGCATAATCAAAACATTCAGAGTAGTATTTTGCATTATACCCAATTTCAATTCATGATAAAAACTCTAGATCCTTAACGTGAATCAATCATTAATGCACGAACACTTAAAAATCCGATTAAGAATAAATTTTTCACGATAATTTTAACCTCACTTTTATGGTATATACTCTTACTAAAAAGATCATAAATTAGTGAAGTATATTGCTGGGTTCATAATTTGTTGAAGATAATGAACTCTTGTCGGAATACAGGTATTTTCACAGTCGAACTCATGAGTCAATCTAAGCTAGACCACCACTGAAAACCTGGAAGTACTGGACGGGCGTTTCGTCCTAGTATAGGAGCCCTCATCAGCACGCATCCACGATCCCGCACACACCAATCGAACCCAGGACACTCGGTCTCACTCAAGAACGTTTAACCTCTAGACCAGTGATCTAGTATCCAATGATGTTAATGTCCAAATCCAATCAATTCATAATGTGCGCCACCCTTGATTCATTGTCATTGGTGGATAACTGTCTCACACCCGACACAAATTGGACACCATTGGTCACGGTTTCTCAATAGAATTCCTAGAGTCGCTATTAAACCGACATCCAACTAGCTTCAAAATAGATAATCAGTGGATTTCAAATTTCTCTACATAATGTGTAGTAAATGAATTCTAATAAATCAGTGTTGAATCTTAGGTATTATTTACAACTTAATGAACTAAAATGTACTAACACCGTCAAATGTCTGCTCAGTGGTGCTGAGGTTAAGCGTTCGTGAGTGACACCGAGTGTCCTGGGTTCGATTGGTGTGTACGGGATCGTGGATGCGTGCTGCTGAGGACTCCCATACCAGGACGAAACGGCCGTCCAGTGCTTCTAGGTTTTTAATGGTGGTTTAGCTTAGATCGATTCATGACTTGAACTGTTAAAATACTATAATCTCCACAAATCCCCATACTGGAATACAAATATGTTTAGTTAGTAAATGTTAAACGTGATAAACTGTGTTCCGCTTTTATCCACTAATTACTGACAGGTATTGTTAGAGTAGAAATTAAAGTAATTAAATAATAAGTAGTCATTTATAGATAATAACGACAAAATACAGACACTTACTATTATTACTGCACTGTTTTTCTTCAATTCTTTCTAAGCCATTTGAGTTTCTATTGAGTTGTGATGCTGACGATGATAATGAAGGATCGGACGTTGATTGTACATCCGTATCAAACGATTTTGTCGTGGCTGTAGTTGTCGTTGTTGATGATGATGGTAAAATACGAGTAGAAAATGACAAAGCAGACAAAGCCCATTGAGTAAGTGCACTAGCTGAAGATGCTCCACTTGTACCAGTTCGTGAAGTATTATCTGCACTTGATGTTTGATTATCACTTGTCACTTGATTAGATGTGTCATGTTCACTAGCCTTATTTAAGAAAAGCAAAAGATAACAACAAGAGAACAACATCAGTACAACATAATATGATAGATAGATATTATCCAAATAAATTAATAAACGAATGATAAACAATATCTAAGATTTACAGGAAGTGCATTTATTTATCGGGAACTAACTACTGTGTGCATAAACAGTGATAATTTCTATTAACTGAGCTACAAGAGCTAACCATATACAGATTGTTGAATATTAGATATTTAATTATTGTTTCATGTTTTATGAATGGAAATTGCTTAGAAATAGATTAAGTCAATCATAGATATCAGTTTAAGATCAAATAATTACTAAGAAATACTGACTGGTACCACCTATTAATCAATATTTAGCTTAATTATCCGAGAGAAATAAATAGGTATGTTATTGATTGAAAATTTAGCTTGACTTTCTACGGGACACACTAACAAAAGAGTTTGGGTATGTATCCTGATCTGATTTAGCCAATAAAGGCTTCCTACCGAATCTTAGTGTTACGACCTGGATATACCCACTGGCATTCATGTTAACATAAACAGGAAAAGTCATCTCAGGATTAACTAACGGTCTTAATATGCTAGTCTACTTAATATAACTTTGAGACTGTAATGCGTGAGTTCGAATGTTGGTAAATTTGAATTTATACGTATAACTATTATACATAACACCCAGCTAAGAAAAAAAACACAACTGACTTATCAACTAGGTACTTTCCATCCGTATGATGATAATAATAAGTTGCTTTTAATTTATTTCTTTTGTTAAACTGTAATAGATTTGTTGAGTCGGCTTCCGGAGAACTTCAACGGAGCCTCCAGAGGCCCAAAAGGAGCCGAAGAGTCCTAGCCAATCGGAATATGATGGAGCATTCGAGAATTCCAAGGTGGCGTGCTACTATTGGTCGGTAGCATAATACCTCGTTAACGGATTGCTGAAATATGATGTTGATTTAACAGACGCCAACATCTATAAATACCTATGATTTTCTGTACAAAAATGAACCCTGGGATAAAGTATTTTTTCTCTCATACTTGCGTCTTCTCTCTGATGTTCAAGTCGTTGAGTAGTTCTAGCATGCGGGTCATCGGAATAGCTTAGGAAATAAATATAGCGTTCAGTCGACAAGACTTATCAAGATTGAACCATTATACAAGGTTTTACTAATTCTTGTTAATCTACATTTTAATAACTAGTAAATGAAAGTTGATTTGTGTGGAACAAGTCCCCAGATCAATAAGCTAAAATCAATTGAATTCGTTCGAATATTTAATTGTGACAAATTTGATTGAAAATAAGTTTATATAGTTAAAGGTTATTTTATTATTCGTGGATTGGTTGATGTTAGAAACTATCACGACTGGATGCCGGCTCAGCGGTCCAGTTGGTTAAGCGTTCGCGCGCGAGACCGAAGGCCCTGGGTTCGAATCTCGCGAGCGGGGTCGTGGATGCGCACTGCTGAGGAGTCCCGCGATAGGACGAAACGGCCGTCCAGTGCTCCCAGATTTTCAATTGTGGTGGTCTAACATCAATCGGTTCATGATCTCAATCAAAAACTAATAATCTCCACAACCCCTATACTAGTTATTACCAATCAGTTAACGGTTCAGATTGCTGTTTTAGTTTTGCGGTTTTACCGTTTTGTAAATAAACATTTACCAGAATACTGAGGTTTCTAATAAACTATGCTTTAGTATTAATATAGTTCGAATTCAAATTGTCTAGTACATGAAGAAGCGTCGAGAATACCATCAATTTAATATTATATTGATTTATGACTGTATAGAGAGCAGTTATCATAGTCTGCCCCAATTTCTTATGGAAACTAAATCAATAACTAACTGGTTGTGAGCATTTCAGCACTATTCCTTGTACCAATAATGATGTAAGACATTTTTTAGGCTATATACTACTATTTATTTGCCAAATGTACTAATTTATTTGAACATATAAATATTGGTACAAGAGGGCACCAAATATATATGCGTCACACAAAACAATGAGAATAGGAAGAGAAAAAACAAGGTAAGCAGCGTATAGCAAAAACAGAACAATAACGGACAGATTAGTGTAAGGTAGAGGAATAATAATAATAATAATAATAATAATAATAATAATGGGGAAACGGAGAGGTAAAACCAGAAGGATTCTTTCAGTTAAGGAAGATACAACCACATTTTATGAAGAAAGTAAAAGAAGACTACAGCAACATCGCCACTGGCTTCTATTCTGAGCCATATCTGATAACGTCTCTAGCCACTATGTTGCATCACCTCCCGGACCCCCAACCAGGGAGTCGTGAAGAGTCAACAGAAGCCAGCCCTTTTCAGCTTTATTTCATACCACGACACCATGTCATGCACTGACCACCTCTCCGCTTTATCCAACCAGTCCCGGCGTCCGCAAATAATACACCATGTCGAATTCTCTGGGACGACATTCGTAGAACATGTTCAAGCCACTGAAGTCGATTTTTCAAGATGGTGACACCAATTGCATTATCGTCTCTGCGATGATCAAACACAGAGAGTAGTCGTCTAACATCCTCAACTCAGAGAGGCCAGGTTTCACAAGCATAGAGCAGAACTGCTCTCACCGACGCGTCGTAGATCCGACCTTTTACAGCCAGACCGACATCACGAAGGCACCAAAGATGGCCCATATTGGCATAATGTTATGTTCCGACAATAATAATGAATAGTAACTTTTGGGATCTATTGATTGACCAATACTAAACGTATATTTCTATTGTATGATTATTAAGTAACTAAACTATTCATATTCATATTCCTCTTATTATAAGCTTTATTTTGACCCATAAACTATTATTATACGTTATCATTCTTGAGTTATATCCAGTATATTAATTACTACCTCCCTCATTCACAGCCACATCTGGATAACTCTTGTACAAATGTTGTTTCATATTTTATTGGTACGTTGTGGTCTGTTTGATGGGGGTATATAAACTCAGTATTTTTGAAATATAATGATTCATATCGCAGAGGCTGAGACTGGTGTTCTGGACTTAACTGGCTGGGCTAGGCGGAAAGCAGGACCGATCAGAACTCTAGGCTGCTCGCACGTGTTCTACGCGTCCTTGGTCCGGTCGATAATTCGTTGCTTCTCATTGGCGGTTTTGAGCTATGACACATAAGCCGCTCTGGTTTTCACTGTACGTGCATTGATCTCATCACTCACGCCACCACCAGCACTTATGCAGCTACCTAGATACACGAACTTTTCGACTACTTCTATCTGCTCACCATCCAGGGTGAGTACAGGATTAATTAGGATCCTGCCAGTCTTGTAGAAATACTTTGCACTTCGAAGGTGCAGAGCACATACCGTACCTACGAACATTGGTTGCCAACTGATTAAGTGCGGATTGCATGGCTTGGGCATTATCGAACAGTAAGACGATATCATCCGCATACTCAAGGTCGAGAAGTCTTTCTCCAGGCAACAGATCCACACTACCATTACTTACATCTGTCAGAGCTGTTTCCAGAATGTCATCGATGGCAAAGTCGAAGAGGAATGGTGAGATTGGGCAACCCTGTCTAACCCTACTGCTCGAATGGAACAATGGAGAGAGGTGGTTGTACGCCCTTACTCTACTTGAGTATGTGGTACAGAAAGAAAAATGAAATAATTTTAACCTCATAGTTTAAGGGAAGACAGAAGGTGTATACGCCTACGCCATTGTGATCGTCCTAATATGGGACTCCTCAGTAGTGTAAATCCACGACTCTGCCAGTAGGAATAAAAACCGAGACCTTCGGCTTCGCATGCGAACGCTTAATCTCCAATAACACTAAACTGGGATCTAAATGTGTACAAGTCTAACTTCAATCAGTCCACAATGATAAGTTGAGCATCAATTTAATAAATCCGAAATATTGATTAGGTTCTGAATACAAAGGACTCAGTTTAATGTTTAACTATGCTTCGTCAAAAATTGGATCGTACATAAAAAAATTTGTCATTAAGTAAGGTAATTAATGTTTACTTTTAAACAGTGTCATTGTTATAGATAAATGAGGATGTAGTATAAATAAAGCACAAAAAAGCACGGATTCTAATGTGACTATAAATTTGAATTGCTTTTAATTTATATCATATCATCATTACCAACCTAAGGAGTTGAGGCTATCACCCTTCGCTATTGATTAAGCACAACAATTCTTTTTATAATCACCATTATTTAAAAGAGAGATAAGAACACATGCTCTTCCAAGTATTGACGTACTCTAACAGAAATAAATATTGGATACATGTGTTTGTCATTTGATTTCCATACAATAAACCATGTGTTAAAAGAAAAAAACTTTCAATAAATAATAAATGTTATACACATAACACAGACATATATTTTATTGATTATGTGATAGGTCATGTTAATAGGAAACTAGTTATGTGGTATGGCCTACTTATGTTGACAGACATAAATAGTGTGTAACACGAATCAGAAGCGGAAGGCCGCCCTAGCAACAAAAGACTGAAGAGATAGAATTGAAGAATACAGGGATGTAAACAGAGTATGACGGTAATAAAAACAGGAATGAAGGAATGATGAACTTTGTAAGAGAAAACTGATGAAAAATATGCAAATTATGTATTTAATGTGTAATTTTCATATTTTAAGAAGACACTCTATAATTTTGCACTAAACGATAAATTGGTCTCCCCCACTTAATTTCTTCGTTCCTTAGAGTTATAATTATCTAAATTTTATAATATGTAATAGACAACTAGTTGAACCATTTGATAGGACTAAAATATACTGAAACAGGATTGAGATGAATGAACATGACGAATCAGAATGACGATAGCGCGATTTCTTGAAAATGAATTACAGATAGCATGCTATGAAAAATCATGTTTTTGACTAGGTTTCATATTTTGGTAAACTTGGATGATAAGATTATCGTCAATCGCTTTGTGTATATGTAGGCAGTAGATGACATGCAGAGAGTTATTCCATACTGTGCTACATGTTGACCAAAGTCTACTAAAAATAGCTTTTTTTTCTGGTGAATGTTTAGCTAAGTTTGCACTTGATTATGGTCTTGATAACTGAATGGATTACAGGAGTACAAGTACCCACTACTGCAGCAGTGGGAGTCATTTACACAAACTGTATTCTGATGTTTCAAGGTTGGGATGTCACGGTTAACTCTTAACATCATAATCTTAATATTCTAAAACTATTTTTTAAAATAATTTCATCATTTCTTTTCGTAATATGCAGGTAATTTACCATAGATGATTGTTTGATTCCAAGGTCACACTTAAGATCCCTCATGGTCATCTGTATAGTTTAGTACTACTGACGATCCTTGTATAGTGTGATACTGAACTTCTAAAATGGAGGAAACAAGGGCTAATTATTTTTTGATTGAGATCATGAAACGATTGATGTTAAACCACCGTTGGAAACCTGGAACCACCTGGAAAAACATCATGACCCCGATTTGAAGAAAAAATAAAAGTGTGAAGACAAGCACATCATTCTCACCACGGATGGTAAGCTATTATAATATGGTTCGCTGAATAAAATCGATGAAATGACCTATATTTCAGTTTGTTAAACAATCATTTATACGACATTACTTTGTAAATTTCTTAAATGAAAACATACAAAATAATCACTTACATGTTCCAATCGATCAAGTATCCACGTATGGCACGAAATGTATCATCACGTATTGACTTCTCTGTATCAGTCGTTAAGAATGACAAACAAGGTAAAACTTTTCCAGCTAATAGATCATTTGTGTAATATTCCTTATAAAGAGAAAAATGAATTATAAATTACAGAATAAGTGTTTCTAGTCATGAAAATGTTTTTCAGAATAATTCACTGAAATGAAGATTTAACTTCCTTCAATAGACACCAGTAGTGAAGAAAAGCATGAGGTAACACAGAACTGACTGCCGAATTAGAATATAAAGAAGAAATACACATATGTACCCCTAATATGTGAGAATTAATTTAACGCTTCCAGATAGACTCCTACATTATTTGTAGTTGATTAGTTTCAGTGAATACACAACGTAATGCAACGTGAATGAGAATTATGCATTCTGAACTTTACTATTAAGATTTTCAAATAACCTTAAACAAAGACTTACTCTGTTGCCCGTTTATTTCGATAGATTAATGTATGCTTTAAAAAATCCCCGATAAACTTTGTGCCTAAATAAATATAGCTAACAACATAAGAAAAAAAATCAGTACTACTTAGAAAGCTTTCATTAAACTATAAAGTGCCGATATTAAAAGTGACCTGATGAAATAGTACAATACCAGGTCTACTGAGTCACGTGTATGAAGACTTATTTTGAATTACTTCATTACTATATACTATTGAAGTATTCATTAAAACAGGTGAAAATAGATTTCACTTGTATGTTATACTTTTCGCATAATGATATGTTTTGTCTATATTTATATCAAGCTAATTGTATGATTTGAGTATGACCCAAATGCCCTGCTACGCTTGAGGGCATGCAGAGTCCGCTCTCTCTCTTCCGAAGTCCTCTCATATGGCCACGAGTATACAGCCACTGTCAGTGAAGTCCTAATCAATGCCTTCTAACGGTATTACTGTTTTTCATGAAATTGAGAGGATGAAAAGCGAATGTCTAGAGGATCCATTTAGGGGAGTTGAAAAACACTGATTCCGAACCAATGGTACACATGGGCTATAGGATCCTTAAGGAACAAATGGCATATGAACCTATTGTTGCGCTATTGCCTTGTGGATTAATCTCTGATTCAGTAATATACGTACTCGATATTACACATCTCTTTAAAACTTAAGGAGATACAGGTCTTAATTTAACTAAGTTTTAGTATAACATCAAACAATGGTCGCAATAATAAGCTAATTAAAATATCGTGAACTGATTTCAAAATAAAACTACAGTAGGATTTGTAGATTGCGATTTTTGGTAACACCGGAAGAACGTAGTGAGAAACATTACGATTTATTCTAAAACACATAGAAATAAAAAAACAAGTTATCATGCAAATCATATTTTTTACTTGTGTAGCAGCTAAGGCAGTTATTGCTGCTTGACGATTCGGCAAGAATGAATCACGAGTTGCTCGAAGAAAAGCGCCTAAAATCGAACCTTGTTGTGTTTGTGTTGAAAAATATGATGCTAATTTTGCCAAACATACAGTTGCATTAGTACGAATTCCACCTTGTGCATCCCGTGACTATAAAACAAGGAGATCATATCTAGTTGAAAATTATTAAGAAATTAAGATTTGTAGGAATAAAAAAGAGATGAACGAAATGTCCTATGTTATCATAAAACAACCATTCAGCTTAAAGAACGAAAGTCCACCGAAACAATGATAACATTTATTCACACAACATTATAGAAAAAAGGTTGATATACCGGGACTAAGAAATACACTACAGATTTGAAGTGCTATAAAATTATTTATAATAAAACAATTAGAACTTTTCAGTTTGAGAAGAGTAAACTATGTTTTTCATTCGTTTTGTTGTGAAAAGTATGATTTTCGTGAGGGATACAAAACTGGTATGGCGGGAAAACAGGTAACTCTCTTAAAGGACCAAGCCTCCCCCTAGTGATACAGTTTCATGATAGACAGTGATCAAGTATATATAGTATTTTTTTCCTCAGATTTCCATAGCTTGTTTGCACCGCTGATTTGAAATTAGGACTATTTAACTTCCCTAGATGAACCCTTCATACTGATCATACAGACGGCTGCTTTTACTTCTCCACTTTTGTAGGGACCTTTTTTCTAGGTGAACTCAGTGTACGCTGCATCTCTGAAACACACATACAGAATCCAAGTACAGTCACTCACTTAAACTCCTTTAGTCAGTTTAGAGGACAAACGAGATTTAATCTCCATTTATCCAGGGTTATGACTGTTACTTCCCGCAGTCTTTCTGGCATAAATATACCATTAATTTCGGGAGCTGAGCAGGCTCTCCTGGATTGGATAGTCGTCTGTAAGCTGTCTAGATAGACGGGACAGTGAGAACTTGGAAAGTTAGAGACACACGGCATTGCCAATTCTTTGTCTCTGCTTATGCTCTAACTAACTGCAGTTTGCATGAAGTACAAGAAGAATCCTACAAGCTAAATGATGTAGTAACAATGGTAGGTGATTTTAATGCCTAAATACGTAACTTAAACCAAAGTGAAAGGTACTTAGATGAGTTTTACGGTTTCGGGTATCAGGCTACAAGTAAAAGCGATCGGTTGCTGAGACTACTCAGATAACCACTTATTTCTGGTAAGCACCAGCTTTAAGAGTGAAGAAGGACATCATTTGACATGGTGATCTTTGAAATCGATTCAATGATTGATCCAAATAGACCATATTGTCATTAGTCATTGTTAGGGAGGCTTGACAGAAGACAAAGATTCATTCTGAGTAGAATCGGATATGGAATGTTAGGAAGAGATGTTAAACAAGAAATCTAAGACGCAAAAGATTCTATGTGTACCTCTATTTTTCCAACACAAAATAAAAAGCACTATTGTGGTGCACCATTTAACTGTGCGTGTGGACCATATTTCCTTATCTATAGAATTCAATTATCACTGGGTTCTAAGATCATTATTTTGTGAACACCCATGTGATGACTGAATTATGAAATTATGGCAGAAAAATATGACCGAGGGCCTCCGCGTGGCACCGCTTGGTTAAGGGAGAAGCCTCATTAGCTAACTTGGGCGGTCGACGGAGATCAGACTAACCTACCACTCAGTTATACCTGAACTAATCAAAGATCCACATATCGAGGCACCGAAAATGTCGTCTGTACGTGCACATATATATATATATATATATATATATATATATATATATATATATATATATATGATGAGTTTCGGCCTGCGCAGTTTGTGTATGTAGCTTATGTGCATAGGATACGCGTCTGGCTCAACCAGAATGAGTTAGAGTAGACAGTCTGCCCCATGGAGGAAATACGAATGAAGGTAGTGATCATCAACCTTCCCTAAGAGCTCTCATGCTTATGTATGTGTGATGATTTGAGTGAACGTAAGTCTTAGTACCTCTTATATGCATATACTGCAAAAGTTAGAACAACACATATAAGCGAACAATTGTTTTCAATTAGATTGTCATCAGGCTTTTCCATAAATATCGACATTTCATCATATTTGTGTGTGTGCTGTGATACTGCCCGGGTGCTCAGACCGAATCAGGTGGTGTTCTTAGGAGGCCACACCTGAGCCTTTGACCTAGAAGTCTGACCCATAAGATAGTGGAGCATCGTGAGGAGATGCAGTCCCACGGTACCTGGTGACCAACGATTGGTTCATGCGCCATGCTTGTCTTGCTTCGATTAACAATCAAACGATTCACATTATTATTATTATTATTTACTACGTCATTTATTCATTCTTTTTTATCCCACTTTATGTATCCTTATTTTTCGACTTATACAGCAGCTCACCCATGGTATGTTATTTATGTCTCTGTTTTTCCCTGTGTTGATAGACTGTATAGTTTATTTGTATACTAGCGGTGTTAAATTATGTTTTAGAAACAGTTAAAGTTTATCAAGCCAAATAACTTACTTTTTCTGACTTTGGCTGAACCAAGACTCTGTGCTCGACAGTCTAGAGAATGGCGTAGAGTTACACCTGTAGGAAATTGCTTCCTACACTGCCTGGTTGAAAATTGTATGCTACCACCAAATACGAATACTGAAGCAGTTTTTCTAAAACCACGTGCACCATTCAAACTGGCTGCCTTCAACGTTCGCACACTTATGCAGGTCGGACAACAGATAGGGCTGGCTATGTCTTTGGAAAGTCTTAATATCGATGTTTGTTTTCTATCCGAGACCCGTATTCAAGACTCTGGCGAAGTACTACAAATTCGATCTCCATCTGTCGCTTCGAAAAGCTTGTTTTACGTGCGCTTATCCGGGGACCCTGTGGCATCTTCGTCTGGTCTTGCTGGCGTTGGTGTCGCACTAAGCGCTAGAGCTGAGGCAGCACTAGTCGATTGGATCCCCATTAACAGTCGGTTATGTGCTGTTAGATTAGAAAGTTCCATCAAAGTGAGAAGAAATCGGCGTGAGAAACGATGTCTTTTCGTCATCTCCGCCTATGCCCCGACAGATTGCAGCCCGGATGCAATCAAGGATGAGTTTTACCACCAGTTATCTGTTCTTCTCCAGAAAGTGCGTTCGACAGATATTGTAGTACTAGCCGGAGACTTGAATGCTCAGGTCGGGCGTCTAGGCACAGAAGAGAGTCGTTTAGGTGGCCGATGGGGACTCGTTGGTCGCAGGTCAGATAACGGGGACCGTCTACTGCAACTTTGCACAGACCACAACCTGTTTCTGGCTAGCACTAACTTTCGGCACAGTCATCGCCGATGTGCCACCTGGCGTCCTCCCTCTGCATCTCAAGCCTGGACTCAGATTGATCACATCGCGATCAGCTACCGCTGGCGTGGTTGTGTACAAGACTGCCGCTCCTTTTGGAGTACCTATCTGGACTCTGACCATGCCTTGGTCTGCGCCAATCTTGCCTTACTTTTCAGTGGACAACGAAGTGACGCCATCAACGGATTGATGTTAGCAAGCTGGTTGCAACTTCTGTTGCAAGTAAGTATCGAACCGAGCTAGCCTCTAGGCTAGCTACCACTCCACCGAAAAGTATAGATGAGCATTGGTTGCAATTGCATGACGCCATGAAAATGGCGGGAACAGTCAGTTGTGGGTTTGCGAAACGTCCCGCTTTTAAGCACTGGGTTTCTTCTGGTTCCTTACAACTCATTGAAGCCCGTCGGTCTACTCCGGGTGACCGTGAGTTTGACCATAAACGAAGGATGTTACGTAAGGAAATTGGGCAAAGCTTGCGTAAGGACCGAGAAGCCTGGTGGTCGATGCGTGCTAATGAGCTGGAAGCAGCAGCTGCATCTGGTAACTACCGGAAGCTCTTCCAGCTCATCCGAGCCACTGGCAGCAAGAAGTCTGGTGTGAGTGAAACAATCTGCGAGGATGATGGGATGCCAATCACTAACATCCATCGACGTCTTGGACGATGGGCAGAATTTTTCGAAAAGCAGTTCGACTGGCCTGCCCTCCATGGCCGGTGACGACTGATCCACCAAATGAGGAGGAAGTCCGCAAGGAACTCCAACTCTTGAAGCGTTACAAATCACCTGGCCCAGATGACTTACCTCCGGCTCTTTTTAAAGATGGTGGTGACTTTTTGACTAAGGAATTGACGACGTTGTTTACAAAGGTTTGGGAACTAGAGAGTGTACCAACGTCATGGAATGAGTCGATAGTTGTCCCTATCTTTAAAAAGGGTTCACGTCGTTCCTGTAACAACTATCGGGGGATAAGTCTACTTCCGATTGCGTCCAAGCTATTGGCTTCCGTCATACTTCGTAGGTTGTTCAAAACCCGAGAAAGATTGACTCGCGAGGAGCAGGCTGGGTTTCGTTCTGGTCGAGGATGTATTGATCATATCTTCACCCTCCGCCAAATGTTAGAACACCGCCATACTTATCAAAGGCCAACAATCGTAGTGTTTCTTGACATCAGGGCTGCCTTCGATTCGTTGGACAGGACTGTTCTCTGGGATTGTCTATTGAAGAAGGGTGTGCCTGAGAAGTTTATTAACATCCTAAAGCCCTTATATAAAACACCTCAGGCAGAGTGAGGGCATACAACCACCTCTCTCCATTGTTCCATTCGAGCAGTGGGGTTAGGCAGGGTTGCCCAATCTCACCATTCCTCTTCAACTTTGCCATCGATGACATTCTGGAAACAGCTCTGATGAATGTAAGTAATGGTGGTGTGGATCTGTTGCCTGGAGAAAGACTTCTCGACCTTGAGTATGCGGACGATATTGTCTTACTGTGCGATAATGCCCAAGGCATGCAATCCGCACTTAATCAGTTGGCAATCAGTGTCCGTAGGTATGGTATGTGCTTTGCACCTTCGAAGTGCAAAGTACTTCTACAAGACTGGCAGGATTCTAATCCTGTACTCACCCTGGATGGTGAGCAGATAGAAGTAGTCGAGAAGTTCGTGTATCTGGGTAGCTGCATAAGTGCTGGTGGTGGCGTGAGTGATGAGATCAATGCACGTATAGTGAAAACCAGAGCGGCTTATGTGTCATAGCTCAAAACCGCCAATGAGAAGCAACGAATTATCGACCGGACCAAGGACGCGTAGAACACGTGCGAGCAGCCTAGAGTTCTGATCGGTCCTGCTTTCCGCCTAGCCCAGCCAGTTAAGTCCAGAACACCAGTCTCAGCCTCTGCGATATGAATCATTATATTTCAAAAATACTGAGTTTATATACCCCCATCAAACAGACCACAACGTACCAATAAAATATGAAACAACATTTGTACAAGAGTTATCCAGATGTGGCTGTGAATGAGGGAGGTAGTAATTAATATACTGGGTATAACTCAAGAATGATAACGTATAATAATGTTTATGGGTCAAAATAAAGCTTATAATAAGAGGAATATGAATATGAATAGTTTAGTTACTTAATAATCATACAATAGAAATATACGTTTAGTATTGGTCAATCAATAGATCCCAAAAGTTACTATTCATTATTATTGTCGGAACATAACATTATGCCAATATGGGCCATCTTTGGTGCCTTCGTGATGTCGGTCTGGCTGTAAAAGGTCGGATCTACGACGCGTCGGTGAGAGCAGTTCTGCTCTATGCTTGTGAAACCTGGCCTCTCTGAGTTGAGGATGTTAGACGACTACTCTCTGTGTTTGATCATCGCAGAGACGATAATGCAATTGGTGTCACCATCTTGAAAAATCGACTTCAGTGGCTTGAACATGTTCTACGAATGTCGTCCCAGAGAATTCGACATGGTGTATTATTGCGGACGCCGGGACTGGTTGGATAAAGCGGAGAGGTGGTCAGTGCATGACATGGTGTCGTGGTATGAAATAAAGCTGAAAAGGGCTGGCTTCTGTTGACTCTTCACGACTCCCTGGTTGGGGGTCCGGGAGGTGATGCAACATAGTGGCTAGAGACGTTATCAGATATGGCTCAGAATAGAAGCCAGTGGCGATGTTGCTGTAGTCTTCTTTTACTTTCTTCATAAAATGTGGTTGTATCTTCCTTAACTGAAAGAATCCTTCTGGTTTTACCTCTCCGTTTATTATTATTATTATTATTATTATTATTATTATTATTCCTCTACCTTACACTAATCTGTCCGTTATTGTTCTGTTTTTCCTATACGCTGCTTACCTTGTTTTTTCTCTTCCTATTCTCATTGTTTTGTGTGACGCATATATATTTGGTGCCCCCTTGTACCAATATTTATGTGTTCAGATAAATAAATAAAGAAAAAACATAAGGTTCAGCAGATATGAATGAATGGGGTGGTGACCATCAGCCATCCCAAAGAGGCGAGTATGCCCATATGTATGTCATAGGATGCGTAAGTGAAAACTTATGTTATCGGTGTCGATGTAATGTATACTAATCCTAGGTGCGATACCCATGTGCGAAGACCCAAGGGTTTTTAAACTATTTCCTCATAAAAGCATTTAGGCGGTGGGTGTATTTCCCTCGAAAAATGAGTCCTTCTGCTAAGAGAGCCAATGGGGTTCCCCAATGAGGCCTAACCAATCTCATGACTGGTACACCGCAGTTAGGAACACGCATATGATAAGTGGATTATAGAATAAGCAATACAAAGTTATTGTAATTATAAATTATCACCAACCTGTAATGTTATTATGTGCTTTATTAAATTCTCATTTAGTAGTTTTGTTGAAAGTCTTGGTGCCAAATGAATCATTGCACGTACAGTCGCTTCACGTACAACCGGATGTGTATCTGTGAAACCAGCAGAAACTGGACCGAAAATTTGTGTTTCTATACATTTTGTTTGCAAATGTTGTACAAAATCAGGTAGATGTTCTAAAAGGCGTACACGTGTTGCACGTTCAGGTGATGAGAACAATTTTAAAAGACATGGGAGAACATAGGTTTGAAAATCATTATCCGATAACAATGGAATAAGACGCAATACAGGTAGAAGAGCATCAACTCCAGCAGATCCATAACGTAAACCATTAACTAAATGAGGTAGTATTTTATGACGGCATACATCATCTGGGAAACTTGTTATTTGTGTGGCAAGATTTTTTAAAAATGTTGATTTTTCCTACAAATGGACAAATAAATAATGAAAGTACAAGATAACGATCATTAGAATGTATTGGAAATTATTACTGATACAAATTTTCTGACTAACCTAATGAAGCATCTTTTATTAGATCATATCTATTGGGTGAGGATCAACGGAATCATGACTCAGTCACTAGGACTCAGATGTTTAAAGAAGTAAGGTTCAACTTAGCATTTCTAAGATAGATACTTTTGAGTTCCAGATATGGTTAAGTCCCTTGAAATTAGTTGGTTATCTCTGTTACACATTTTATTTGTGTATTCATACATATGATTAAGAAGAAAAGCAGACGCTCCAATGTCAGCTAATCATAATTCTAAATGATATTAGTGTTTCAAAACAAGAAGATACTGGGTGTGTAAATTCAAGTTTTTTCAATGAATAGTAGGTCATAACTTAAGAAAAAATCAGTTTGTCAATGAAGTAAAATAATACAGCATCTTGCAGATCAATAAGCATTACAAAAAACGTAGTCTCACCAAATTGGACACGTGTATTGATTAAAATGTTAATGATTTAAGAAGACATAAGCCTGGAAATTTTGTAACCACTTATTAGACGGGGTAGCGAAAAGTAGTAATGGTAATTGGTGACATTGATAAGGGGTATAAAGTGCTTGTTTACGTGAGTTGAGCAGCAAAACTGACATAAGGCCTCTTGCTAGACAGTAGGGGAAACCTTGCTAGTCAACTTAGATGGTCGACGGAGCTTGGACTAACCAACCACTCCGCCGTCTCCTAGACTAATTCGGGTTTCAACTCGAGGCTCACTTAACCTCACTGGGCTACCTGATGTGTATGATAATGCATAAGAATTGCAGAAGTCATCGGGTGTATGTTGTTCATGTATATAGGCGTATGCAAAGGGTGTGAGCGTCGTGGTACAATGGAAAAGCAAGCTGAAATATTGTTTTCCCTATGTCTAATAAAGTCAGCGGCCTAATCTATCAGGTCGGATACATAATAAAAAGATATGGTAGCAGATACTCGAAAGAGAAGATCAACAACCTCCACTGAGAGAGCGTTTATGCTTGTGTATGTTGTGGAGTAGAGGGGCGGTGAACATCCACCCTCTCAAGTGGGTGAACATACCTATATGTATCCTATGGGATGCATGGGATAAAATCCGTGTATTACCGGCGTGCATGTAACGCATATTTGCTGACAGGGTAGGTATACCTGTATGTATACCAATGGATACATGGATGAAAGCCTATGTGTCACCTGGAATGTGTTTAGACTATACCTATCCAGGGTAAATAAAATCTAAAAAAGCCTTTACTTACTCTTCTTGTATACGACACCTACACACACCAAGACCTGCAGGGCCGCGGTTGCCCACAAAATCACTCCACGCGGTGGGTTTGTGAGCCTTGAAAACGCGGAATTCATTCCAGAAGGACCTAAAGACTCCACCAGTATAAGGATTTAACAACCAATCTGGCTGGAACACCACACTACGCGGGTTAGCGTTAGCTGATATCAATCTGGTGATGAAGCTATCTACTCATTAATGAACAATGTTATAGTAATTATCAGACCACGATTCCAGAGTTTTATTTTCATTCTATCATAAATGACCATAACGAAATGAATTATAGAGAGGAAATGGATGATCTTGATCTATATTCTTAGTAAAATTTAAATATAAAGCTATAATGAGTTATAAAATACCATTTAAATCTAAAAGCACTGAACTGTTTGGATGGGATAGCGTTCATGAATGTACAAGACGTTTAGTCAACATTTGGTAACATATACTTAACACTTCTAAAAATATACAGTATAATGTAACTCATTTACCAAGGATAAATTTATGTAGTAGACACCCAAATGCCCTGATACAGCCAAGGATGGCGAGAGTCAGCTTTCCTTCTCGAAATGCTCTCACATGTACACGCGTATACAACCACTGCCTGGGAAGTTCTACTCACTACCTTCTAGCGGAGGGGGTGTTGTTTACGAAATTGAGAGGATGAAAAGCGAATGTCTGGAGCTATAAGTGGGTTGGTGAACACAGAAAATCCACCTAGAGGAGTCGGAAAACCCTGATTCTAAACTAATTGTGAACATGGACTGCAGGATCCTAAGGGAACAAATGCGTAGCATCCCAGCCCCCACACGAATCGGATGGCGAAGTGTGGCGAATATTTGTTCGGTGCCCCTTTGTACCAATATTTTCGTTCAAATAAATAAATAGTTTCAAGTCACACTTTACGTGTGAGTGTTGGTGATACCAATCGACCAAATAAGTGAATTTGGCCTTTAACCTGTGAGTCAATGACTAAAGGTCAAGTTTTTTAAACACCAAGCCACAACCCAGCTACAGCTTAATTCACAAACCTAAATGAAGTCACAGAGTTAAGTTTTAACAAGAACAATAACATAAGAGTTTAACCACAATCACAAAAATGAAATGATTTTTCTTACCATACTATCCTTTAATTCAATCTCTTCTAAAAATAATAATGTATCTACGTAATCATTGGCTAAAAATCCTTGTTTTTCTGAATTACGAGTTGACTGGAGAAATTGAGACACGGTGAATCGTTTCACTCCACCTTTTGTAGCACTTTGAGCAATGAGACGTCGATAATCATTTACTAATGCTTTAGGAATCCTCTTCGAATATGAAGATTCAATTAACTGAGCGCGATCTTTTAATGTTGAAGACGGATTAAATATTTCCCATATTAAACATCCCAAACCCCATGAATCAACGAGACGATTGTCTGTAGGCATGTACGGATCTATGGAAATAGAAAAACCTCCATCATGAAATCATTTATGAAGGATTTGAAAAAAGCAACGAAGAAAATGTACATATTTATAAAACTAATTAAAACCAAGTAGTAACTGCGTCATTTATATAATTTATATAATTTACAAGTGATACATGTAATTTAAGTGGCAAAGAGTATAACATGATAATTGAATAGTGGCTTTATGATTGAAATACTTCAATCAGTGACCTGGAGGTTTGAACTGTAATTCGTGTTTGGATATTAAAGTAGTATTATTAACCCTTACACAAACTATGTGGTTCATAGCTACACTAATAAATCTGCTTTTAGTAAATAAGTTACGTTGAATTTATTAGCGTAGTGGCTTTAACTATTCTAATCAACACAAAACTTGCGAAGGAATAAAAATTCGAAGAAAAACAGTTAAGTTGTGTTGAGTCCATAGAGTATAATTATCATATAAGAATATGAGGTAACGAATTATGGATAGAATAGGGTTAGATGTAAAACTATGACTCTATAGTTATTGTAAGAAATGAATTTCATCACTGTTACAATCTGCCTATACAAGAGTGTTGCGATAGTTATAATCTATAGATAGTGACACAGGTGAATCGTTTGTCGCTTTTTAGATCCTCAGTTTGCATTATGATTTCATACTTTTCCCTTCTCGATTTTAATCATTATTTTCAGACCATATATTCCAAGTTTGATCTTTACCATTATAGATACCGTCAATATGTCAACTTCTTTGCAATTTATCCACTTAATTAACTCCCTTTCACTGTGTAGATAGATGTTAACTGTAGTAAATTGGAAAGACACATTCGTGTAAGACAAGGTTGAGTGTTTAAAATTTATGGGACAAGCGATCATATCTCAACATCAAGGGAACTTTTCCTAGTTTAGATATTTGGTGAAAAAGTAGTAAGAACTAAAAATGGCCTCGAAAATCATTTATTTAAACACATTAACATTGGTACAAGGGAGTGCAAAAAATATACATGCCACACTTTGTGTGAGGGCTGGAATACTACACGAACTTCCAAACCGAAGCAGGTGATTTTCTTAGGGGGCCACACCAAGAGCCTTGCACCTACAGGTCTAATCCAAAAGGCAGTGGAGCGACACCAGGAGATGCAGTCTGATGGTAGCCAGTAACCAACAATTGGTTCCCTCAAGATTCCGTAGTCCATGTTCACAATTGGTTTAGAATCAGAGTTTTCCAACTCCTCTAGGTGGATCTTTGTGTTCACCAACCCACTTATAGCTCCAGACATTCGCTTTTCATCCTCTCAATTTCGTAAACAACACCCCCTCCGCTAGAAGGTAGTGAGTAGAACTTCCCAGGCAGTGGTTGTGTACGCGTGTACATGTGAGAGCGTTTCGAGAGGGAGAGCTGACGCTTGTCACCCTCGGCCGTACCAAGACTGCTATTTTTAAATCTGTTATTGGGTTTAGCTTGTTTTCCAATGATTTGAAATCATAGATACAGAGGTTTTTACAAAGTTGACTTAAAATTCCTCTCACATAAATCCGTTGTTTTCCAGTTAACGTTTCAACCACTTATATTTCCTGTAGTTAGTTTACTAACATGTATATGAGTAAGTGCAGGTTACTATCGATTATGACAAAAGATTGAAGTTGAAAAGTTCAGGAGTGTGTTATTTACCAACAAATGATTAAAAAGTCTCTAAGAAATAGGACATTGTATAAATTTACCTGTTGTATTTGCATCCACAAAACCTGCTGTTTGTCTAGTAGACGGTGGAGGTTCATTGACAGGTCCGACAAAATCTAAAGCGCCTAACTTCCATTCACCAGCTGTAGTTACAAATACGCTATCTAAACGCACAGCATTATGTGCCAATTTACCGTCATCATTTAAGAAAATTAACGCTTTGGCGATCTAAAGATGACCAAAGAAAAGAAAATGAAAATAAACAAACACTACACTATTGTTAGAAACAGATGAAACAAAAAAAGTCACATTATGACTGTTCATCCAGTCAGCCGTCATCAACGTATGGTCTGGCAGAGATGAGAATTGGTTCGAGTTCCCATACCACATTAGCACAACCAGGTGAACACCGAAAGAGATCGAAATAACGAAGTAGCAATGATAATAAGAAAGACTGAACATTAAGGATATGGTTCGAAAAGACAGAATAACAACGTGTATATAAGGGAATATAAGAATTCAATTTTGAGAGGAAGATAAAGGGTGAATACGCTTGCGCAATTGTGAACAAATCCGAGTCATTCCACCTGAAGTTTCCAGCCCTTGGTGGCTGCTATCATTGATTGAAAATGAAGTGTTTAGAATCTCAAACAGTAACTATCGACAAAAATAAGAATAATCTCGGTAAACACTTAATTTCAAAGTTAACTTCAAATCCTTCCATTTAAGGCTCAGAATCATTGGTAATTATAGGTGAAATTGTTATAACTTGTGGCCTGTGTGCCCTGTTAATGTATACGTAATGATACCGCCAATTAGAGAACAGTGAATTATCGATCGAACCAGTGAAGCATAAAACCCGTATGAGCTGTTCAGAGCCCTTATCGGTCCTGCTTCCTGTCTAGACCTGCCTGTTAAGTCCAGGACACTAATCCCAGCCTCCGCGATACGAATCATTTTAATTCAAGCATACTGGGTTTATATACCAACCAGACAGACCACATTGTACCATAAAATAGGAAACAACATTTGTGGCTGTGTATGTGGGTGGTAGTAATTAATAGACAGAGCATAATTCAAGAATGGTAAATCGTAGAATAATAGTTCATAAATCAAAATAAAGCTCATAATAAGAGGGACATAAATCTGCATAGTTTAGTTATTTAACAATTATACGATAAAAATATATGTATATTATTTGTCCATAAACGGATCCTAAAAGTTACCATTCATTATGCTTATCGGGACATAACAGAAATCACTCTTCACCTTTCTCTACAGTTTGAATATTTTAACAATCTAAGTTTATTTATTTCTTATACACTGATGTTTTTTTTGCTGACTATCTCTTTTTTATGTTATTAAGACTCGTGTAAAGTACCGTATGTTATACAGGTCAAAATTGTACTAAAAGACGTTAATTGAACTTTTTAGTAAATAAAAAAGATGAGAAAACGTCTAAAGAATAAATATTTCAGTTAGCATAGGATTGATAACAAGCGAAATAAGACCAAATTAGGATTTTATAGTTTCAATAAAAGATGCTGAGTTCGATTCTCCACATAAGAATATCAACATTGGTTTAGACAGAGATGCATTTAACCAACGAACTAGTATAAAATGTAAAAGAAACATTTACCATTAACTCTATTGTAAAAGTGAGAGTGCTCTCATTAATAACAATACAAAGCCATTTCTAACACGCATACAATTGATATGTTAATAGAAAATGTTTAGTTTGCTTTAATAACTCGACCGAGAAGTAATAAATCCTGTCACATACCATATATATATATATATATATATATATATACCGTCTTGATTTCATTTTTTACCTGGATTAATAGAAAGGATTCCTCCCATGAGTATTAATCAAGAATATCTTAACATCGATTGCTTGTGAAGTTGACATCCAGATTAGTGCAAAATGGTTTGCATATCAAAATACATAAACTTGAAGCATTAATATAGTAATATTCGCAGACCTAATTTCACATAATTCCCGAGAATACGCAATTTATCCAAGATAATCAGATTAGCTCCAACTTTATGGATAATGCTTTGGCTAATAGGTTTAAATACTATAGTGAAAACAAACTCACATGGTGGGTTTTTATTACTATAATGTTTTCATAAGGTTTATACAACTTCATACTACTGCCAAAAATAAAACATAAATCAATACCCAAAGAGACGGTTGCAATAGAACTATTTAGCTATTTTATATTTATAGGTTTCAAATGAGAGAATGGTGGAGTGATGGTAAGAAACATTGGTCACTACGAGATCATCCGATTTTACTCATACTTAAATGGCTTTATTGTTTAAGAAATCTTTTATGAATATATACCAATAAGTATATAAAAGATATGCACTAAACACTCAAAAACTACAAGTGTATTAGAAATTTAACTTGACGATTGTTAATGTTAAGCGAGTACACAATTAATATCAATGTGTAACCATTGTTGGAGTAGTTGGGGTCTTCGTATCCTGGTTCGAATTGTCATTAACATAGTTCGCGGGTATCTCAGATTATAACAAAATATATACATACTAAGGTACAGATGGAAGGTAAGTAAACATATGCACGAATGTGGTCACATAGTGTTGAAAAATGTTTAGAGCTGAATTCCGAAACAATCGTTGCTGGTGAATTTGTTTTACTACAGTATGGATCCAAACAATATGTAGCAAATATTTTCTTCATATTATGGTAACGCTTAATTATGTGCCAGCCTAGTGCCATCGAATTGACGGTACTAAATATAGTAAATGGAAACAATTACAACTGAATGGAAGACTAGTAACCAAATCACTGGGAAGTGTAAACAATCACTGAATAGATAGAGAACATCTTTATAATACTGTACGGTCAATTATGGTTTTTTTAATAAGGACTGAAAATTTCTTACTCACACTTACTTAGATGACGATACATAGATTTAAAATTTTTTAGCTATCATTATTGAAGAAAAATGAACACTAAAAATTGGAACACTGGTTTCTCCTAATAAACATTTGGCACTGTCATAACTCTCCCTCGTCACCAGAAGTATGGAAATTAAGATTATTAAGCTTATCTACTAACAACACATAGCACCCCGGCAAGCGATTTAAAATAACCTATCAAGGAAATGACTCAAGATCTAGAGATGGTTGATACAAGCAGAAAGTGGAAATAATTGTTCATGACCAAAAAAAGCATTTGACCTAGATAACTTATGAACATAATGAGACATAATAACGATGTCCGAGTAGGGACAATGGTTGGATTGTTGAAAATTTCGAAAATAAACAGTGGACAGAAATTCATTGAAGTTTGTAACATAACGAAGAGTGGAGTCAGCTTAAGCTCAAGCTGACAAGAAGCCTACGCAATGACCGTGAACAGTGGTGGGTAGTGAAAGCAAGAGAGATGGAAAAGGCAGCGGCAATAGGTAATAGCAGACAATTGTTCAGACTCGTTAAGGAAACCAATATTAGGAACTCGACTGTTAGCGAAACAATCTCAGAGAAAGATGGACATATACATTCTCAACCCAGGAGATTGGATCGATGGGCAGAACACTTTAGGGATCAGTTCAACTGGCCTTCAGCCACACTTCGGTTTCCCACGATCTCCAGTCAACCTGAATGGCAAGTTAATGTAGGTCCTCCGACTCTTTACGAAGTTGGAAAAGTTATAAGAAATCTGAGACGAGGGAGAGCAGCAGGCCCTGACAGGTTTACTCCTGAGATTTTTAAGGATGGTGGCCCAGTATTAGCAGTGAGATTAACTGAGGTCTTAGGAAGAATTTGGGAACTGGACGTAATCCCATCTGACTGGTCTCAATCACTGATTGTGCCAATCTATAAGAAAGGACAAAAGTCCTCCTGTGACAATCACAGAGGAATCAGTTTGACTAATATAGTGTCTAAAATATTAGCTTCAATAATACTTCGACGCCTAACCAACGCTCATGAAGAGACCCTGAATGACATTGCTAAAAATCGTTTGCAATGGCACAGGCGCATTCACTCTTTGTGTTCTCCCAAATTCTAATCTTCTGAATTCTTTATGTACCTTTTTTTCTCTTTTTAAATTTAATTCTCTGGATTATACTCCTTGAATAACATCTTCAAACCCTAATCTTTCCGATTACTGCTTATACTCTTACCACCTCTACCACTACGGGATTTGAATCAACAACTGCATCTCGGTGCTAATGTGGTATGGCAACTCGAACTGACGTACGTACGTACGAAGTTCTACGTTGTTACTGACTGATTGACTGACTTGTAACTAGACGTACGCGCAAGGTTGTGTTTTGTCATAACATCGAGCCTATGTAACATAATAGTAGAACACTAAAAATCTCCAGAGTAAACACAGATTAAAGTTCAGCAAAATCATTGATCCTTCTTAGGTCAAACTACTCTTCACACATAAATATTTAAATCATGTTTGATAGATGTCGAACAAAGAAATATAGTTTTTCAAAAACAGACATAGTTCAGTAGCATTATAATCTATCTACCGATACCAACCTGATGTATACCCCATGAAGAGAGAAGGTTGAAATTTCCACAATCTGCTTTAATGCGTAGATATTCCCGTAATGGTAGAACACGTTCCGTAACAAAGCCAATTTCGTTAGGTAATTTCCCTGAACCAATCTCTGATCCACCGATCCAAGTAAGCATATTTGGATGACGTAATGTTTTCATCCACTTGACTGTGCTTTGAAAAATAGACAGAATAGTACTAGCTTCCCTGGTTGCAGCATTCGAACTTAGGTTGCACACAAACAAAGTAACCTCTTCTTTGGTTTTCTTTTCTGACCAGGGAGAAGTCGCCATTTGAAATCATATGGACCATAAATCGTTCCTAATGGTTCTGAGTTGGGTGGGTCAATAGAGAAACCAGGGACTGGGTCATGAGAAAAGTTCAAGCCTAATGAGGTAGCTGATCCCAACAAGCTGTCTGAATCCCTGTTAGTAAATAGCCACATAACTTGGTGGACTATCCTTTACTAGTTTTCTGTAAATTGAACAAAAGATTACTAAACTAAAAGGGAGTCAGTAATAAAATAAGGTTATTCACGGGTATATATATATATATATATATATATATGAGATAATAGTGGCTCATGTATTGATACTTTTACAAGTGGTACAGAGAGAATAATACTGTAAAAAGATGTGAGAAAACAAGAAAATATAAAAATCTGATTATTTCATTCGGCGAACTAGAGAAAATTAACCTGATTTCAAACCTAGACGTGGATGTATCGACCATACATTCATTATTCGTCAAGTTTTGAGATAAATATATCGCCGCCCAACTATGGTCGTGTTTCTCGACTTGAGGTGATACTCAACTCTATCGGACGAAAGATTGTGGCTGTTTGTCATTGAAAGGGGTACCAAATTACATACAACATGTGAAGCATCTCTACTCAGATAATATTGTTTGAGTCAGAGGTATTAGGAAACTCACCAGAACTATCGACCTTAAGTGATACGTATTAGGTTTGATCATAATTCTCTATTTAATTTCATCATAGATATCTCCCTAGAATAACACTCCATCGAACTTTTTAGACTGACCTCTTACAAGGAGATCCATTTATGACAGTTCTGTTTAGTGGAGCTGATAAGGTGAAGGCTGACCGCCTTAAGGAACAATGCCAACATGTTTGAGACGCAATCCTTTCCTAAATGAAAAATATTATTTCAACACTTCCCTGAGTCAACGTCTGAATTAATGATAGGGAATGGAGTAATTCCGATAGTCTAATAATTCACTTATGTTGGAAGTCTCATTGACGCTAGTGGGTTGGTTTCTGCACAAATTTCGGCGTATATTCAAGCTCGGTTGCCCCTCGCCAAATTGTGCTAATTGTGGTGTAGGTGAGATAGCCGTGTGGCGTTTGTATGAACTAATGATTCTTTTGTACTTGATAACTACTTGATTTCGAATTCCAAATGCAATACGTTCGTTTGTGCTCATCTAATACCTCTTAGTTAAATTGCGTTATTTCTGAGATTTCTAGTTTGTATGATGATTAAAGTACTCCTAATTATCACATTAGCGTCGTGATGGAACGGTTGGACGTACATTCAGATTTTGATGCTTTTGAAGATTACATGGAAAGGTTCGAAATCTGGCCCATGACCAACGAAGATGTTTAGAATATTAATATTGTGGCTCATTTCTTTACATTCATCGGTGTATACACTCTGTCTTCCCTTAAACCAAGAGATTAAAATCGCTTCAAATCTTTCTTTCTACGAACTAATTCTTCTTCCTTTACTATATCCTTATTGCAATCTTTCTTTTATATATTACCACCTCTGAATTAACTACTTTTATGAATCCGGTGTCCATCTCGTTGTGTTAATGAGGTATGGCAACTTGGACCGATGCATATATGCGCCTGGTCCTACGTTGTAGCTGACTGATCAGAAAAGAAGCATACAGCTTATTAAAAACTGGTTTTACCAGTAAAGCCTATTTCACTTCCTTATGCAACTCTCAAGGAACTACTGCTAGGCTATGTAAAGTATGCAGATTTCGAATGAGGTAAAGGAGGAAAATTTCATAAAATGACTCGTCAAGACATGAGGAATTCCACTACTTTACTACGTCGTCTCAGTCCAATGAGTAATCAAGGTTATTTAGATAATTCATTGAGAGGTTGCGAAGCAAGTCACGAAGTTTGGTAAATGCTTGTTCTGTGGTAAGTTTCGCCCGTGTAATTCATGTGCATTTTGTAATACCAAATGCTTTAAATGTGGTAAAACCGGACACATTTAACAGTTTGTAATACTATTATTCGTTTCGCTGCAAGCAATGCTAAATTTTATAGTTCTGATCGTATTAAGCTGGATGTTTCTAATGATCATTTATTTCTATCCACCTCGAAAAACAGTAGTCATGTAGCAGCCCAGAATTAATGAAACTCAGAATCATTGTAAAATAAAAGCTTCTAGTCAATCAACTTTTTATCGGATTTCTCATGTTATTGTACCAGATGTGGCTTGTCCTAGCGATTCACATATTTCTAATGAAATTTTCTACAAATCTGAGGAAAATATGTTGAGTGAAGCAAATCGTGATCAAAAATCTGATGCAGTTTTGATCGACGGTGATTTTTCTAATGGTCCATTATCCTCCAATGACATTTCTAATGAATTTGAAAATATTTCAAAACAATCAAATCCTGATGCCATGTTAAGTGTTATTTGTCTTTATGATGCATTTGTTTCTTATGAGGAACTTGCGAAGCACAAGTCCTAAACCAGCTTGATTTTGATTACAATTCGGATGATTTCATATCAAATGTTGTTTATACTTATCATGTGAGAAATAGGTTGTAAATGAAGCCACGCTATTGATAACTTGAGGATATGAAGATCCAACATTATTTCGTGGGGGAGGATAGTATTGGAAAATTTATGGTTCAAGGACGCTCTTGCCTAACAGACAATGAATCACTTCCCAAGGAACTGAAAATAGAGCTTATGTTAACAAAAACTGGTCTCTATTTAGGCTCCATAATTCTTTACCACCACTGCTTTACCAACACTTTAAACATTTAGCATTAGCGATATATTCGTCGGTGCATCCTAACCACACGGCAAAGCAGACTCAACTAGGAATGATTTAATAAATTTTTTGACAGGACATGAATGACGTTATGAACCAGAACACTCAGTTTATAAAGTGCATTCGTTGAAGCACCCTCTTGATGACGTTTGTTTCCATGGAGCCTTAGATTATCCGCCTCTAGATTTGGGGTCTTATATGAAAGGGATCAGGAAATCGGTACATAGCATTGCTAAAAATGTATGTTTATTTAATTCCAGAATTCACAGGATTATTTTGCTTCAGAATAATAACACTGCAGTTCAAAAAGAGCGTTATTTTCGAAATTTATTACTATGTTTAACTTGATTTTTTAATAAAGCTCTCTCTGACCATGGATCTACTTTCTTACTGACATGTGCTAAGTTGAGACTAATTATGTCGTGAGAGCGTGTCTGATCTCATATGCAATTAAAATTAGGACACAATCTTGATGAATATCGCATCACCTGTAGTTTCTTTTGTAGACCTTCGTAAATGGAAGTGGAACTTTATACTTACGACGAATTTGTGTGACGAGCATCTATCTACTGATAATCACCTTGTAAACTATAATGCCATTTTCCGTCAGTGTCTTTAACTGGCGAGACGAAAATTTGTCGACGAACCAATCACGTATAGGATAACAGGTCTTGGATTTTGACACGAAACTCACTCATTCATTCGGATAAATAGGTTTGTCATTATACGTTTAACTTCTTGATGAAAACCCGGAATCTAATTCCTAACCGTAATCATCAATCATAAATTAAAATTCCTCACTGGTTTATAACCCTCATTTGGTCCTGGTTATTAGGTGGACACTCAGAATCAGTCTGGCACGCTCAGAGGTCATCCATAAATTGAAGTCTCACCGAGGGCAAAAGCGGGGGGAAATTAAGGCTGAATGAAAAGTGGACAATTCGATATATATTTAGTTGGAAAGTAGACAACTTAGTGACATTTTAAACACAAGGCGACAAAAAAAGGAAATTTCGCATTATTTTTCAACGACAAGAGAAAAAGAGACTCTTTGGAGAGTTTTCCCATTATTTAACCTAATTGTTTAAAAGAATCGCTTTTATTTCCCTTATATGGGTTGCTTAAGGAACCATTCGGGTTCCCGTGCCACACAGTCTATGGTTTAAGTCAGAATATTAGCAGGACAACAAGAATAGCTATCGGAGGCAAAATGTCCTTTTTTAGTACTAGTTTTCAAGAGGGCGAATTTGGGAAGGCACACAAGATGTTAGAAGGCCAATGAGTGATTATCTGTCAGCTGTTTGTTTCTAGTGACTGTGAAAAAGTTGTGCATAGCTGGCATATAAATAGCGTTTTCTGTGAACGAATATTAGAAGAATATAGCATAATACAGCTTTTCTGTACCTTTTACCAGTCCAAACGTAGTAATACAGTAAACATGATGAGTTGACCTTACAAGTTCAAGGCTAGAGGGTCTACATTCACTGTACAATATATCTGTCACGAGATTGTGTGGACCATTTAATTTCTTCAAGTTTTCTTCTTCTTGCTTCGGTACAGTTTCAGGTATTTGGTGATTTTCAATGGTGTAGACACTGTACTGTACTCTAAAAACTTGTGGTTATTTGTGGAATTTTGTATCGTGTAGTTGAGTGAATGCGTTTGTTTCAGGAGAGTAGGGTCTCTGAATGCCGACACCCGTCATATTGCCAAGCACGAATTTGGTTGGTTGCAACGTGAAAATAATAAAGTGACATTTTGAGTTATAGGAGATGATTGTTTCAAGGACTGAAATCGAGAGGACAAAAAGCGAATGTTTGGAGCCATAACCGAGTTGGCGAACACAGAGGATCCACCTAGGGGAGTTGGAAAACCCTGGTTCCAAATTAATGGTGAACATGGACTACGGAATCTTCAGGGAATCAATTGTTGGTCACTGGCTACCATGAGACTGCGTCTCCTGGTGTCGCTCCACTGCCTTTGGATTAGACCTGTAGGTGCAAGGCTCTTGGTGTGGCTCCCTAAGAAAACCACCTGCTTCGAGTGAACAATATGACGTATATATATTTGGTGCCTTCTTATACCGACAATAATGTTTTAAATAAATAAAAATTTTAGAGCTATCGACTGTGGTCATTTTGGCTGGAAGAACATCCTGAATGGGGACAAACCTTAATGAGGAAAAGCGGGAACGTACCTAGGTGTCCATGGTTTGGCATACTTAAGGTGTTGTATGTCATTATCAAGTAACCTCTTATTCTCGTATAGCTCAACCAGAATAATCTCAGGTTCTGGAGTGCTTTTTTATAAAAATTGTGTTTCAGACCAATCACCTACTTTGTTGCCCGTCTCCGTCCTCGATCTAAGAGATTTAATTCTCTTTCAATATGAGAATAAGTTATGACATTTAGAGCTTCGAGGTGGGGGCCTGCATTCGTTTTAAACAGTGTTAGGAAC